CGCTACAACAATCGGAAAAATTTTTCGAATTTCTTTCACAATTTTTGATAAAAAATTATGTATACTATAGTAGAATAAACAGTCGTAAATGGTCCGAAAACTTTCCAAGAATTTATTGATTTACGTCTTCCTCAATCAATATATTTATTTCTGATTTGATTCAAATTTTAAGAAAAACTCTTAAATGTAACTGTATGTTCTAATGGATTACATGTCATATGAAATGTAATTAAATACACTGCTTGGAAAACGTGCTTTCACCATTAACGTTATTTTTTTGTTTATCATACTGACCGCATTTATCCTACTGACCGGACAATGTGGGATAATATGCTCTAATTTGAAATTTCTTTTTTTGTTTTGTTTTTTTCATTAGTTTCAAAAATTTTATCATTTCATTTTTTTTACCATATTTAACAAAATCATTTGATCAGTTTGCATAAGGCATAAAAATGAAATGACTTTTTTTTTTCAAACGAGAAGAGTCGTACCATTAATACCCTTTTCAGAAAATGAAATTTAGTTTACTGTTGAAATTGAAATTTCAGAGAAATTTAAATTTCTTTTTTTTTCTCTCTTTGTTAAAACAAACTATGATTCCTAAATACATTGTTTTCTATTCTTTTATTTTTTTTAATTAAAATAGTGCCAAGTTTTTTTAAATATTCTTAGCTAATTAGTGATTTTTGGGTCTTAAGATTATTGACGAAAATATTTATGAAAAAAAAAGGAAGAACAAGACAATTTATTTACTTGCTTTCGGCATTCTTGTTTTTGCTGCTAATTAATTACAGTGTATTTTTTTCAAAGCTGAATCAATGGACAAATCGTTGCAGTTGACGAAAAGTATTGAGATGGAATAGTTTTCTATTTAATACATTTTACTTGAAATAAAAGTAAAGATTAACAAACTTAAATTTAATTTCGGTTCGATAATTATCGGTTAATCAGGAAGTGATTTGCAAAATTTTAACGAAATGTGATGCAAGAGTTGGTTAAAATTACTATTAATTTAAATTAAAACTGCCAAATGAAGACTAATTAGCCCTGAAATTGAAAATTGAAATATTATGCAAGTCTGTGATTATTTCTCACATTTATGTGGACAAATAAACATATATCGAATTTTAATTTTAATTAAACAGATAACTTCACACTTTGATATGAAATTGAATTCAAGGGATAGAGTCTGTTTCAGTTCGAGTTGTTGCTGCATCCAATATAATAAATTCATTCAAAGTTAAATGTTCCTTAAATAGCAGAAGTAAAGATATGCCAAATAAATGATAAAAATTGTTTGCATACTCATTTGTGTTATCAAATTGTTCATAGTTGTGTGTGTGTTTTTTTTTCCAGTAATTTCATCAATGGTTTCTCAGATGCTGAATGATAATGAGTGTGAAAGCAAATATAAGGTATCAGATAATTATATTTTAGCTATTCTTAATAGATGATTCGATAAGAAATTATGAAATCTCATTGAAATTACTCTTTCTTCCTGTGTAATTCCAGCTTCCTTGCAAATTTGCGAAAGATGAGGTGAAATTTTGAGATTGTCAGGATCGTCTAGCGCAGGAAATATGGCATCCCATGGTTCAACTTGCTTGTATCTATAAATATCATGCTTAATATCCTGTTATTTTTTAAAGATTTTTTTTTATGGCGAAGAATAAAATTGAGCTGAAAATATGCAAAATGGTATAGTTGAAGGAAACTTAAAAATATTTGGAATTGGAAGGAAATGGATGAAAATTTCAAGGTTTTGAATGAGGAAGCTTGTAATTCAGTATGTTTTTTTCTCTTCCAGAAGTTGCAGAATTAGTAATTAATTTGATTAAATATAAGTGCCTCATTTTTCACTTCTAATATCATCAGATATTCTTGGTGAAGCTTAAAATCATCTGTCATAATATCTTACTTACCTAACGGAATATACGATGGGTACGTATCCAAAGCTAAAAAATAGGCGTATTCGATGTTTTAATGGTACTCGTGTTGTACGTCTGGAAAATATCTTTTCCTTTTCAATTGTATGAGAATAAATAAAAGCAAATGTTTTAGCTCTCAGAATAGATTGTTTTACAAATTACGAGGGTATGTGATACAAATGGTAAAATAGCGAACTTATCTGTTTGCAGCAATTCCTCGATGTATGGTAATGCTTCAAGATCGAAACGATCACTTCGAGGTTCAGTTTTAAGACGCTTGATCTTGAAAGACATTTATCTTAAGTTACTTTTTCACTGTTCATATAAGGTTATTTTTAATGATAAAGTATTAAATTTGTTATCAGTCATCCCAAAACATATGTGAATTACTTTGAGCATTAAAGTTTGCTTAGCACCAACGATACCGCTAGTTGGATTTACTCGGAAATCGGTAGGATGCGTCACTTTGACCTGAAATAATGAATTTAGCGAATGATGTTATAAGAAGCAAACAATAGCTAACATAAGGGAGGTTATGTTTAAAGTAATTGTGATTAAGGAAAAAGGATGATGTTTTAAAATAATAAATGATTATATTGCAATCATCCAAATATCTGTTCGCTTTAATTATAGCAGAATTTATAATGACAGTTGCAATGTTTTTTCTAAGCAAACAAAAATATAAGGATGACATGTAAATATCTTATGAGAGATAAATAATTGAAATTGGAAATTGTATAATACAAATAATGAGGAAAATTGACTCGAAAAATGATCGGAAATAAATTTTCATTAATGATTTCATGAAGATTTATCAATTCTTCATTGCTGTCAACATAAATAAAATCTGGTTCGACATGAAATTTCAATCCTTCCATTCTCCTTCAACATTATTCCTTTCCTTATTTTCTTTTTCATTTTTTTTTCCGGAAAATTATGTAGAAAGAGTTAGCTATAAATGAAAACAAGTGAACGTTTCCAAATACCGTATATGTGATCAAAAATTATCTGGAATAATTTATTTGTGATAAGATATTTCATCTTTGAAGCTGGTAAAAGCCATAGGCAAAAAGATGAATTATTTAAGGATTTAGATGTTCTTAATACATACTTAATTAATTCTTCATGAGTAACAGCTGTCTTCACTGCATCACTAGCAATTTCACTTGATTTCTCACCCTATAAAATTACTCCATGCAAATGTTGTAGTTGAAAACTTGAACTATTTTCCAGCAAAAGCACAAACTATTGACAAAAATTACATTTTCAGCTGTGTAATTGTGTCATAGCTGAAATGTCATAGTTGTCATAGTTAAAAATTAACATGATTCTGTTGCCTCAAGAAATGTAATGTTTATTCAAAAATTGAACTTATTTGATTCCATTAAACGCATACCATTTAATTTTTAATCTGATTGCTTGAAACAACTGCTGAAACCATAAAATAATCAAATATTCACGTACTTATTACTTGCTAGGAGGCACGGTTACAGTCAATTTTAAGTAATTTGAAACGCAATGCAAATGAAAAATAACAAATTAATTCAATTCTATTCGCTAATTTATATTAGAAGAATAATAGTTATATACGGAGATGAAAATCAACAACAAAATTGTTCACACTTCAATAATTTTTTTTCGTCCTTTTTTTAAAAAAAAATAAAGATGTAATATTTGGTAATTTCTGATCTCCTTTTGTAACAAATTTCATTAACTGATCAGCAAAGTTTAAATGATAATGAGCAAATAATTACCAATGCAATGCTAAATTCTAATAAATTATTGATATATAAACAAACAATTACTAATATTTCTTATGGACTATAAATTGAATATTTTTCTTTTTCTTACTGCAAAAAAAAACCAATTTTATCCATTTAATGAATTAAACGATTGATATCATTGAGCTTGTATGGAAGACGAAAATATCATGAAAACATTTGATAAAATCCTCAGTAACCTTTTTTTCGTCCACTATTTCAAGAAATTGATAAAATTATCATCAGTTATTTTTAGAAAAACAGTATCACCTTAGTGCTTGGATACTTTTATGCTGTGAATAAAAGTAAACAATGGTTGGATTGAATAAGAAGAATTCCATTTTATCCAATATGATAACTGGGTGATCAATAATCAAAGAAATTTGCATTTCGGAAGGAAAAAGCGAATAGAAAATAATAGAGATGATTGAGGTTTCTGATATATTTATTAGAAGTATGAAATGATTGAACGGTTTATCGATGGCGCTAGTGCTAATGGTCTTGAAAAGCTGCACCTTTTTTATCGGCTGCGTAACAACATTTCATTGCTAGTACTACAGTTATTGGTACTATTATTTGCTAATTTACTCTTCGATTCCTTTCATTTTCCTGAAGTAGTTTGTTTTCCTGACAGAAATACGACGGACTAAGTATAATTCGATCTAAGGCCTTATTTGAGATGGAAAGGAAAATTGTCATCATTACTGATTTTAAATTTTGTTTTTCCTCCACATGACATAACTGATAGTTTAAGTAATATATGAATGAATGATTAAATTGAAAAGTATCAGTACTCGTTGGGAGAACTTATTGCTGGACTCAATAGGCTCTGTATTCGCCAGTTAGACATTTATTATAGTAGCACTGAATATTGGAAAATCCCCGATAAACACTGATAACAAAACTTTTTGGTGCCTTATAGCCTTATTTACTTAGCATTAAATTATAATTAACTGTGCTATCTTGACTATCAATTCTATTATCTTATCATACTCCTTGGATGCAAAATTCTCTCCAGAGAACTCTTTCAAATTTCTTATTTTCTTCTTTGATGCCTTCGCAAGTCGTCATAAGAGTATAACACTGTTCTTATCAGCTTAAAGAGTGATGAGAATCGTGCCTCATCTATTAATGTCGTAACTTGATTTGATGCATCACTTCTTTCATCAATCCCATGGCCACACATCCACTCGTGATGTTTCCTTCTATAACTTTATCCTCGGGCCATTTCCTCTCCACTCCCATAACCATGATGGACCATTCCACCAAAACGAATTGTCTTTAAGTTTACCTGGGAGAAGTTGTCGTGAAGCTTGGTGTGCTGGATTACTTCCTGATCTTACATGACAGAATTCAATTTCTTCTTATCAATTTTGTTTGAGACATATTGGATCCTACCGGCGATTTTCTTAACCACTGCAGGACACAGGCGCTATCCGTCCATAAATATGTTTTTTCCGCATCGATTTCTTGCGTAATGAATTCCAGTACTCTTACTCCAATTGTGACGGCAAGTAATTCTAATCGAGGATTGTTGGCTGATTGATTCCTGGAGTTAAAAAAAAGGCATTTAACCAACAGGATGTTATAAAAGTATCTCGATGGACGCCGCAAGAGTGCTCCGAGATACATGTGCTCGTAGACGCACCCCAAACACTGTGGGACTAGCAGTACACGTATGCAGAAGTAATATCACTCCATCCAAACCACAACTGATATACGGAAAGACAAGATTAGTTCCAAGAGAAGAAAGCAAGTAGCTAGGTTTTCTTGAGTCACTTCCTTACAAGTAGCTAGGATTTTTCTTTGTAAGTAGCTAGATTTTTTTGAGTCACTTCCTTATAAGTAGCTAGGATTTTTCTTTATAAAATAGCTAGGTTTTCTTAAGTCACTTCCTTCGCCCTATCTTTCAGCCATAAAAACCTGGTAACATCACTGTCTTCCCGTTTTTGGCTCATTTACAAAGATGTTCTCTACATCGACACTCTATCACCAAGTAACATCTTTGTCTGGCCCTATTAATGGTGGCATCATTACTGGCTTCCTATACAGACATTCATTTAACGATGGGCCTTCGTCTTTGCTGATGCATCAAATGCTACTCTAAGCATCGTGATGGATTCTTGAGGTGTTATCACCGCTTGGTGGGGCAGGTAAGATACTCGCCATGTTCTATTCTGATTCTTTACCTTTTCTATGAATCCTTCCTCAAGCAAGGTTTTAATATACTCATCCAATAATTCTGGGACTTCTTCAGTCTTCGTATTGTAGTTCGTATACGTCCATGGCAGTCCATATCCTTTTGCTGGCGCTATCTCTTGATTCTTCCATGGTCAGCCCACTATACATCTCCATTTTTTATCCATGGTGACGATTTTTGAAAAGTTTCAAGGGCTTTTTCATCCTAATAATTCATCATTAAATCCCTAATCTGAATTCTAATTTCCACGTCTGTTCAATCTGGTCTATGTGGATTTGCGATTCCATCTTTGTTATGTTCGCAGTTGTTTGAAATTTATAAGACACGTCATTTCTGTTTCCTGTAACAGTATCTTGCATCACTTTCCATTTGCCGCTTTTGACCACCTATTTCTTTTTCCATAATCACCATCTATTTCTATTTCCATATTTCTGTTTTCCTTCTACCATCTACTTCTGTTTCCATAATCATCCATCCTGATGGACACATTTTGGAATTACGAATGACTAAATCTGCAATCCCTTCTACGCCTAATAATATATTTGGTTTTTCCCCACTTACCTTCAGCTAGTTTCTTTCTTTCATTGTTACATATGTATTCGTTCGAGTATTGAATCAACAATGTACGCTTATTCTTATTCCCGGACAGCGTTTGAACTCCGAAGGTTATCCTTCGACTTTCATATTTCCTTATGCCCACCATTCCTGTTAACATTCTCACACTCGGTGATGTATGCTTAAAATTCAATTTGCTTACCACTGATTCTGTAACATAATTACAATCACTTCCTGTATCGCCTTCTATGTTTTTCTTGTTCATCTGGATTGATTAACCTTACTTCTTTACACATCATATACGTATCCCGAATGCTATCATCCGCAACCATGGCCGCCACTGTTTTCGGGCTTATGTTTGCTTCCTCATTGTTTTTGCAATTCTTGCTTTGCTTCTTCATTTGGTCGCGTTTCCTACACAAAGGCTACTGTGGCCAGATCCGCAAAAAAACATTTTATTTTCACTCATGTTTCTTCTTGTGAGTGGTCGTTTTCAAACATT